TGACACCACGTGCATCCTTCGAACTCGAACGATCGCGGCTCTCCGAAAACCAGATCGCGCAATGTTGGACAAACTCAGGCCGTTGGTGTTCAACCTTGGAAACTCGTGATATGGTCGTTGCCGAATCGACAAGACAACAACTTACCGTAATCGAGCGGCCAAACGGACATATTATGACACCCATCTGGAAAAGCAGTCTGCAGCACGCGGCAGTGAACCTACAGTACACAACATGCAGACCATGTGGGTCATCTCAGCACTCTGTCTTCGGAGAAACAATGTTCAACTGCCGCTGAGGCATGTGCAGGAGAGTCAGCGGAAGAAAAAATCAGGCGGCTCCATGGACTAACCAACACGCTACTCTGGAAAATCAGCCTGCGACACACATACACGTGGCCAGCCAGAGCTTAACAGCTTGTGTGGGATTGCCCCATTGCCCTCGCCACCGCCTACCTGAATGTAGGTGGCCCCGTAGTAGAGCCTCCTAAGCAAGAGGGTTCGGGCTCGCCTGTGCGCGGCAAAGAGGGAAGATCTGACACCGTGCGATCGGCCCGCTGCACGCTGGGGCGTGTTTGAAGCCTGCGAGCTGTCTCGTGAAACTCCTGGTAGATTTCTACCGTCGACTACACACATACGCGCCGGCACTCACACACTGGCGCACGCACAGGCAAACACAGGCACACTGTTTGGCGTCGCGGCCACGCATGCGCGCGGCGGCGCGGCGTAGGCAGTGGAAAACACACGCACGCACTTTTTACGCGGGAGGCTAGGCAAAGGGTGACTGCGCTGGCGATGAATGGCATGAACGGGGGTACCGTTGGGCCGAATTGTGCCACCATACAGAGGGAGGAGGGAGGAGGGACGCGGCCGAAGGGAAATAAGGATGGGGCGGGCGGCTCAGGGGTCAGAACGCACCCCGAGCGTGTGCACACGCACACACACAAACCCCTGCAGGCAGAGGGAGGCGCACGCGCACGCATACCCACGCGCACACAGAGACACATACAAACGCACACACACGAGCACATACACATACGCACACAAACGCGCAGGCAAACAAAACACACGTTTTTGGCGATCGCGGACTCGCGCTCAGCGACGAGGCGGAGAGAATCGAGCAAGTAGCACGGAACATGCACGCGCAATCGGGCCCTCAGACGCGGGATCCCATTGGATAGACCGCCCATAGGCCACCCGGGCGTTGGTGGCGGGTGAGGAGGTATGAAAAGTACGCGTGCACGCGCGCACGCGCGCGCACACATCGCGCACACATTCACACACATACACGCACACACACACACACGCGCGCACGCGCACGCGCGCGCACGCGCATGCGCACGCACAGACACACACAGACACACAAAGACACACACAGACACACAAAAACACAACAGGCACACACAGACACACACACAGGCACAGACAAACAGGCAGACACACAGACACACTCACACAGACACACAGAGATACACACAGACACACACACAGGCACAAACGCACACAGACACACACAGACACACACACACACAGAAACACACAGTCACACACAGACTCACACACAAACACACACACACAACCACACACACAAACACACACAGACACACACGCAGACACACACACACAGACAAACACAGACACACGCATACACAGACATACACACAGACACACACCGACACACACACACACACAGATAAACACAGACGCACAGACGCACACACGCATACACGCACACATACACACACGCAAGCACACGAGCACACACACGAGCACACACACGAACACTCACACACACAAACGCACACAAACACACGCATACACACAAACACACACAAACACACACACACAAACACACACAAACACACACAACCACACACACAACCACTACCATACACACAATCACACACACAAACACACACAAACACATACAACACACACACACAACACACACACAGACACACACACACACACAGATACACAGACACACACACACAACGCGCATAGTATTTGTTGCAGAGGGTGTGGGGGGGCAATACCAGACTGCCTGGGATAGGATGCATTCATAATTCGGATGGGCGATGGGGCAGAATCATATGTACATTGCAATATCAAGAGGGGTACTATGAAGTCTGGGCTTCGGTAGATCCTATTAACTTTTTTGGACAGGAGGATCTACGCGGCGCAATCTATGGGACAAGACAAAGCAATGCTAAGCGATGCAGAACGGGCTGCAGGTGGGGCGGCGGGCGCGACGAAGCGGCGACGCTGGTCAAATGGCGGTCAGAGCGCCCCGCAGGCCCATGCGACGGGCGGCGACGGCGGCCACATAGCCGCCAGACCGGCGTCCAGGCCCAAACGACGGGCGACGAGAAGACGGTGACGGGGTGGCGACGGCGGCCACATCACAGCCTGACTGGCGCCCAAGCCCAGTTGCGTAGAAAAGGAGTAAGAATCCCTAAATGCAAACCTGGTTTGGGGGAAAAGAGCGGTGACGGAACCGAGCACTAAAGCGGCCCTGTCGCTCCCACGAGCCCATTCGGTCCAGTCTGGACCTCGGCGTCGCGCCACTCCGCGAGGGCGGAGGGGCGCAGAGCAGCAGAAACAGTTGTACGCCTGGCGGCGCCCTAGGCAACAGCGTCGAGCCTGGGCTTGCCGTGCCGCACCGCTTCGCTGGACCTCCTCCCCCGGCAGCGCAGGAAAACGGTGATCACTGCACGCCTGGCAGCACCCAGGTTCAGTGTCTGCAGTCATCGAGCTGTCGTGCCAAACGTTGCGCAAAGAACGGAGGGGCTGGTTCGGCGCCAGGGCGAGCCTGGGCCAAGAGCGGGCTCCCCGACCTCTCTCTGCGGAGCTGCCCCCAAACCAGAGCCCCTCCAGGGCCCAGAGTGTCCTGACGGTAGTTTTGGGCCTGCGTGTTGCGCCACTCCCCCTGGAGGGGCGGGCACGGCATGCAGGAGGCGGCTTGCACGCCTCTCGCAGCACCCGGGTGGGGGGGCAGGGTCTGGCCTGGACCTGCGTGTGGCGACGCTCTCCGCTGGCGGAGGGGCGCAAGACGAGCGGAGAAAGCCTCGCGCACGGCAGAACCCAGGGCGGGCGATGCCCATGCAGCAAGCTCGTATCGTGACGACGCCAGCGTTGGTTTCTGGCACCGCGTGGATCGTTCAAACTTGACCGATCGGCAGCTTTTCGATCGGCAGATCATTCCATATTGGCCGATTCGGGGCCGCTGGCTGTGTGTAACTTTGAACGCCTGCGGCCGGGTCGCTGCCGCGTCGACACGACACGAACATATCGCAGGCGTGCTGCGCCACTCCCTGCTGCCGTCTTAGGGAGAGAGAGAGAGAGAGAGAGAGAGAGAGAAAGAGAGAGAGAGAGAGAGAAAGGGGGGAGAGGGGGGAGAGGGGGGCGAGGAGGAGCGAGAGAGAAGGGGGGATAGGAAGAGGGGGAGAGGGAGAGAACTTCTCTCCCTCTCCCCCTTAGGGGGGAGAGGGGGAGAGGGAGAAGAGGCGGAGAAGGAGAGAGGCAGGACGGGGGAGAGGGGGAGAGCGAAAGGGGCGAAAACCGCGCGCGGGGAAGCACCCGTGAAAGTCCAATGTTCGGATCTGCATGGCCCACCGCTCCGCGGAACATTTTGGGGCGCTGGAAAGTGGCGACGGCCTCGCGCCTGGCAGCACCCGTGGGACCGAGAGGAGAAGAGGAGGCGAGGGACGAGGACGCGACGAGAGACGTGGCGACGAGAGATGAAGACGCGACGGGAGAAGAGGAGGCGAGAGAAGCGGAGGCGAGAAAAAAGAGGACGCGACGAGAGAAGCAGCAAGCGCCGAAAGGGATGAGGGAGGGGATTGGGGGGGAGGGAGCTCACTGGGAATCGCATGCGGTGCTCGAACCCAGGAACCAGCATCCGAGGGGCGGCGATGACACTCTGCAACGGTTTTTCAATGCTCCTTGCCTGCGGGCCAACGCCGCCCTAAGACCCACCCCCAATGGCCACGAGAGGATCCAACCGCGCCCCTCTGGCAGAACTCGGTCGAGCCGTCGCGCCCGAGATCGCCCCGACACCCCCGGCAGTGCCCGACGAGGCACCCTAAGAGGCCTCCAGCAGTCCCCGAGAAGCCTCTACTCGCCATCGCTCGGACGTCCATTCCCTGTGTTTTTTTCGGTTTCGTGCTTGGTTTTGTCGCCAAATGATCAAGGATGCTCCTCGATGGCCCTCGCCGGAGGAAAAATGCACACGTCCGAGCGATGCCAAGTCTAAGAACCGACCACAGCGCAACGCAACAGACGTGCAACGTGGTGGCAACGCCGCACTGACTGCATGATCACCCTGCAGGGACTCCGATGCTGCGCTGGCACGGTGGCCTGGACTGCCGCAGGCAACCGCGTATCTGGAGGCCTCCCAGCTGGGATTCAAGTGGAGGGGGTTGGAGGATCGCGACGCATCGCCAATGCATCGCCGATGCGTCGGTAATGCATCGGCGATGCATCGGCGATGCATCGGCGACGTCGGCGATGCATCGGCGACGTCGGCGTGGAGAACATCGAGCTCCACATCGAGACGCATCGCCGCTGCTTCGGCGATGCGGTGCGGTCCTTCGACCTTCGACCCCATCTGCTCCGACCACATCTGGGAGGCCTAGGAGTATTGCCGTGCCTGGAACTGGCTCTGTCACGGCACTGCCGATCGATAGTGGAGGAGGAGGAGGAGGAGGAGGAGGAGGAGGAGGAGGAGGAGGAGGAGGAGGAGGAGGGGGAGGGGGAGGGGGAGGGGGAGGGGGGGGGAGGAGGGGGAGGGGGAGGGGGAGGGGGAGGAGGAGGAGGAGGAGGAGGAGGAGGAGGAGGAGGGAGGAGGGAGGAGGAGGAGGAGGAGGGCGGAGGAGGAGGAGGAGGAGGAGGAGGAGGAGGAGGAGGAGGAGGAGGAGGAGGAGGAGGAGGAGGAGCCCGCGCGAAGGACGGCGCCGCACCCACGAGGGCTCGCCGCCCCTGATGAAGGACGGTCGCGCGGGCTACACGCCCTCGACGAGGTTGCAGTGCGGGGCCACGCCGCGCCCGCTCTGGTCGCAGTCCGTGGCGGGCGTGAGCTCGCCAGAGGACTGGTCCTTCGAACCTATGCGTTCGGCGGAGGGCAACTCCCCGAGGCTCGCAGCCTTGTCGCCGGGCTGGCCCGCGAAGCCCTGCACGCTGGACAAGTCGATGGACCCCGTCTCCGCGCTGAACCGTCTCACCTCCCGCGCTTCGCGCACCTGGACCGAACTCAGCCGGTGCTTGTAGACGCTTGCGAACGCGAACATCAGCCCGAGCAGCACCACACACAAGAAGGCAAAGCCGACGACGGCTTGCTCCAACAAGGTCTGGTCCTCGTACCGGAGCACCCGCCAACTAACGACGAAGATCCATGATAACCAGAAGAATATCAAGACCTAGAAGAACAACAAGCGGAATGAACATAATCTTCCAACTCTCGGCGCGGACTCCTTGGATCTGCGCGGGAGACCCCTGCCCGGCAAGCTGCGCGCGAAGCTTGTCATGGGGGGGCTCTAGCGCAGATCCATGAAATCTGCGCGGAGCTCCGAAAGTTTGTGTTTACGTTTTCTTGTTTCTTCGAGGGCCGCCCCGCAGGTGATCTTTGGCACGAACGGCCCCCCGAGCTCGGCGTGCAGGTACTTTCTACGGATCATGACGATGGCGATCGCCGAGAGGCAGACGCAGCAGAAGGTCACTACGCTGAAGCCGATGAAACCCGAATCGACAACGAAGACCATGGAGCTCCCGTGGCCACCCGCGTCGAGCCTCGCGGCGGTTTCGGGGTAGCACGCGGCCCACTCCGAGGTGCGTTCCTTGAACGCCCAATATATTGAACATATGCTCCACGGAAGCCCCAGGCCTAAGAAGACGTTCACAGAGTTGCTCCCAGTGACGTTCACCACCGACGCGTCAGCAGTCTCGTCCTCCTTGCAAGCTGCCAGGGAGGCGAAGAGGTCCGGCATGGAGGTGCCGAGCGCCACGAAGGTGATGGCCGTCACCACGTCTCCGATGCCGAGGACGCACCCGAAGAGCTCGGCGAGGTCGGACACGACGCTCGTCAGGGCAGCGATGCCGAGCAGGGAGCCGGCGAAGCAGAGCCACCCGCCGAAGAAGCAGGGGTGCGGGATGAGCGCGAAGAGCAGCTTCCACGGCAGATTCACGAGGTGCAGCGCCCAGTCTGTGGCCGAGGCCTCTCAAGGGGCCCAGGGACACGCAAATACATACACACACATATGATGATTCCCCCTATGTTTCCATATGTTCTGGGTTTTTGTCTTCCCGCCCAATTCCCATATTTTCCCATATCTTCCCGGGAGTCGACGATTCATCGTGTCTGTGTTTTTTTCCCTCCTGAGCCTCCCTGTGCTCTTCGGGGTCCCCCCCCACGTAGATCGAGTTGGCCAGCTGCTCCCTCCACATGGTGAGTCCGTAGTGGAACCCGTCGATGTCGACGATGCTGCCAACGACTCTCCTCCAGGGGTCCAGCGGCCCGTCGGCCCTCAAGGACACCGTGAGGATGGCGCACTGGTCGCCTCCATCGGTGTCGGGGTCGAAGTCCGCCCCCTGGGCATCGTCCAGTACGAGCAAGAAAGATGACTTCAGCTTGTTCCCTGACCACGGGCCGATAGTCAGCTCGATGAACTGCTCCGTCTCCTCCTCGTCGAAAACGACGACGCCGCCCTCCACATGCGTATACTCTACGTCTGGGACGGCAGTGAGCCTGCGGGTCGTGTACCTGACCTTCACGTCCTTATTTCCTCTGTAGCCGCTGGCGGCCAGAGGAATCTTGATCTTCTGATCCTCGTTCGTCAAAGCGACCACCAGGTGCTCCTGAGGGAAGCCCACCAGGGCCACCTTCGTCTTCGCAACCTCCACTGCCTCCTCGAAGGGCTGCCAACGCAACACTGATATTGATGTTCGTGTTTTCTGAATCAAATTGACAGCAGGGGCGAGGGAGCAGGATGGGGGAGGAAGATGAGTCCCAACATCAACATCAGCGTGGCGTGTTATTACTATGATTGTTATCTTGCGCTGTGGTGTCCTAGAGCGCGGAGCACTTTATCGTTGTTCGTCGTCGTCGTCGTCGTCTGTCCCCCGCCCCTTGCCCTGGTCCACGGGATGGGGGAGGAAGCTGAGTCCCAACATCAACATCACCGTGGCTTATACGTACTATGGTGGTTACCTTGCGCTGTGGCGCCCTAGAGATCGGAACACTTTATTATCGTTATTTGTCGCCGTCGTCCGTCCACCGACCCTTGCCCTAGTCCACGAAACCTTGCCCCGCCCCTGGCCTCCGCTCCCCTCACCCCTGGGCCCTGGCCCGCTCACGGGTCCCGCCCTGCCACTGGTATGGCCTTTTATTATCGTGCATTATCGTGTCCTAGATCTCGGCGCCCTTGATTTCCGTTAGTCGCCGTTCGTCGTCGCCGTACGCCTCACTGGCTATCTCGGACCCACCTGACCCCATGCCCTCCATACCGGCCCCGACCTCCCCGAGGAGAGGCCCCGAAAGAGCGCGAGAAAGCTCGAAGAGAGAGAGAGAGCTGCAAGAGAAGGCTGGGACGGCCCCGCGACAGCCTCCGCGACAGCCTCATGATGGCCCCCGAAAATGCCCCTGTCCTGATCACTCTCCTTGTGCAGGAGCCAGGGCACGGATGCCACACCAGGTCCTCCTTGTCCTCCTCCTCCTCCTCCTCCTCTTCCTCCTCCTTGTCCTCCTCCTAGGTGGCGCTGGCCCAACATGCGTTCCCCGCCAGGACAGGTCGGGGCTGTAACAGTCGGACCGAAGTATGAGATCGAGGTCGGTTCGGGGAGGGTACTCTAATGTTCTTCGTGCCTGTCGGATGTTATTGTGCATCCTGGGGAGGGTACCCTTGGACGTTCTGTTCGTTTTTGCCGACGGAAGGCCTCATGTTCTTGAGGGATGCTCTTCTGGCCCAGGTCCGACCGCAGCTTCGATCTCTGGCGGCCGCGGTGTGTGGTCGCCACTCGTCGAAGACGCGAGGCGGGGTACCTCGGGAGAGCGGCGGGCCCGATCCCGAATGGCAAGAACAGAGCGCCCGGCGTGTGCCGCGAGCGCCGGACCCCCCCAGGGCGCCGCCGCTCTCCCGAGGCGCCCCGCCTCTCGCGCGCTGCTTCGACGAGTGGCGACCACACACCGCGGCCGCCAGAGAACCCAAGGGGCTCCGTGCTCCCTGGAGACCCCGCCTCGCGTTCTCGGGTGGGGATCGCTGTGAGCATGGCTTTTGTTGTCACAGCCGAACATGTGATCAATGATATTACTGCTTAGGAAATCTGGCCCAGCTTCCCGGAGGTTCCTTGAACCAGACCTGGGCCAATTTCTGTTGTTGACGCTAGAGGGCGGTTCGGCCGCTCTTGCCTCTCAATCTGGAGTCGGACCAAGGCCAGAAGAACATCCATCAAGAACACGAGACCCTCCGTCGGCCAGACGAACATGACGTCCAAGGGTATCCTCCGCAGGATGCGCAAAAACATCTAGCAAACACGAAGAGCACTAGGGTGCCCTCCCCGAACCTTTCTCGATCTTATACCTCGGTTCGGCTGTAAGGGGCTCCGTACTCTCTGGAGGTCCTTGCCATCGTTTGGACGTCCATTCCCCGTGCACTTTTCGACATCGTGCGTGTATTTTTGCGCAAGGTGCTCCAAGATGCTCCTCGATGGTCCTCGCTAAGAGAAATACACACGCCCGAGCGATGCCAAGGATCCCGCCTCGCATTTTCGGGTGGGGATCGCTGTGAGCATGACTTTTGTTGTCGGTACGCTTCAAGCTGCTCCCATCCTCGCCCGAACTGCCCCGCAAGCTGGAGCGCACCTCGACGACGAACTGGGACGGTCGGGCCCCGTGCAGATGTGTCGCCAGGTCCGCCTTGTCGTGCTCAATGAAGCCTTCGGCTGCGCGCAAGAGTTACCCTGGGCAAGAGAAGCCTCTGGTGCACGGCTTCACGGGGCAGCGGGGGGTACCAAGTCCAAGCGCGCAAGCCAGTGCCGAGGGGATCCCTGCGGGCCCGCACCAAAGGTCCCTCCGCCGAAGGGTCACCCTTAGGCGTAACCTGCAGCCTAGCTTGACGAGGATCCAGACGACTGCCCCCTCGTCCGACTTGTACGACATCCAGACCAGCAGCGGAAGGAACAGGAAGGTGACGATCGCCTCCCAGGGGTCTACACACAAGGAGGGGTGGAGGAGGAGGATGAGGAGCAGCAGCAGGAGGAGGAGGAGGACGAGGACTTTTTGCAATGCGCGGCAGCCAGGCGCACACCCTATTCGCGAGAGCAAAAAGGCCGGGCGACAGGCTGGCAAACAAAACCTGCGGGCTAAACACCCGCCGAGGGCCACTCGCGGACCCCAGGCCTGGGAGGGAGGCCCTTGCGCAGCCGCATCAGGGCAGTCAGCTGCGCCTTAGTCAGCGCGAGGGGTCCGTACCTCGCCGCCTCGCACTCCTCCAGAAGAAGCGAGGGCCTGGAGTCCGCGTAGCGCCCGCAGGTGCTGCAGAACGTGATGGCGCCCTTGCGCCACAAAAAGTGAGAGGCATGCGGCACATGTCCAGCGATGCCAGTGCCAGGAGGCAGACGAGATGGGGGATCAGGCATCCCCAGAGACCGAAAGAGTTGCTCGTCGATGGGCGGCAGCCCCTCGTACGAGCGCGGCAGCCTGACGCAGACCCGAGGCGCGGGAGCAGTGTCCTCCGCCTCTGGCTCTGCCGCAGGCTCGAGAGGCAACACGCCGTCCCCCCCCCCGTCCTCGACCGCCCCGTCCCCCTCCCTCAGCTGGCCTCGCTGCTGCAGCTCCACGCGGCAGGGAGGCGAGCAAGGCGACGGCCGCAGGACCGAGCACGATGAACGCAGGAGGTGGAGGGCGCGGCTCTGAGTGCGCCTGACCGATCGGCCACAGCTCTTGCAGCACCAGCCGAAAGCGGTCGGCACAAAGGCATGCTGGGAACGAGCCGCGAAGCCAGAAAGCAGCTCCTCCCTCCTCTGAGCCCTAGAAACCTTCGGTTTGATAACCTCACGGCCAGGGCTCTTGGGGGCGGAGGCGGCGGCAGCACAGAGCGTAGCATTGCGGAGCAGGATGGCCTCGGCCTGCTCCACCAAGTCCAAAGCGCGACGCGCTACATCAGGATCAAGCTGGGCCTCCTCAGACCGCTCCTCGGCGAGCCCGTCGGCCACTGCATTGAGAAAGATAGCCTCGGGCAGCACAGTGTGGCCTAGACGCGCAAACTTCGCGGGGTCCTCAGCTAGATGCGAGGGCACGTGCAGGAGCGCGAAGCGGCCCACGCGGACGTCAAGCAGCGAAAAAAGATCGTGCCAGAGGTCCGCGTGCTCGAGCTTGTAGCAGTGGCGGCGTCCGCGTGCTATCGCATTCACGTGATTCACGTGGTCGGAAACAGCTTGAAATCGGCAGCAGGGTGGACGGCCCTGACGCACTCCACAACGGCCAGGAGCTCAGCACGAGGCACCGTTTGCACAGGGCCGTCCACCAAGCCCGTGCAGCCAGAATCCCAGTCCAGACCCTGGCCGTCGCCAAGGCGGGCAAAGCTCCACGCCACACGCCGTAGCAAGGGCTGAGACGACCAGGCTCCACCTGCACCGTCGGTGGCGTAGATCCCCCCTGGCAGCGCCCCGACGCCGCATCGCAGCCACCGATGGCCACGCTCGTCGGGGGGAGGCGGGATGTTCAGCCAGGCAAGGGGCACAAGCCCGCGGCACCAGAAGACAGGGGCGCTGTCGATCTCCTCCAACGCCTGACTGCGAAGATGGTTGGAGGAGACCACGGCCTCTGGAGGGGGAGGCACACCGACCGAGAGCGCCCAGTCCCTCTCCATGAAGTTGCACATGCATTCCCAGAAACGATGACGGCTGGATTCGCGGGAGCGATGGCAGCGCTGACACAGGTCGTCCGCGCGGTAGCCTGCCTGGTGACGACGCTCCTCCGTCCAGTATCCTCCGCAGGCGACTAGGCGAACGAGGCTGGCAAGACTGTGCTGGGACTCCTTCTCCAGCCGTTCCGCCAGTGCAGGCGCATGCTGCCACCAAACGCCACCCTCCGCCCCACCCCCGTCAAGATGCTTGGCCGCCTGTCGCCAAGCCGCATTCTCAGCGGTCTGCTCCAGAGCCGCGAGGAGGCTGGTGACGGGGGCGACGGAGGTGGCGAAGAGCTCCCACTCCTGCCCGTCTGGCTCGACCAACTTGGACAGGGACGGGCACTGCCAGCCAGCTGCAATGACAGAGGCCTGAAAGGCTGAGAGCGGGCCGCGCACGAAGTTCCAGCCACGCGCCACCCGCTTCAGGGACGCGTCCCATCCTCGCTGGACCTTCGCAGCGAGGCCGTCCTCTCCAAGGACTCGAGAGTAAAAAGCTTCTGCGATGTGCCGCAGGTACCAGATGGGCGGGTCGCGCCGCGCCCCAAAACTGATGCGAATGGCCACAGTAGCGCACGTGCCGCGCTGAGGGCACTTGCTGGCGAGCCTCGCCTGACCACGCAGCTGCTTCAGCATGGTCGGCGCCAGCCCGTGCACCTCGGGCGCCCACACCGACTTCGGCAGGGCATTGGAGACGAAGAGGCGTGAGGCTCGCGGCGCTGACCTGACCAGACCCGAGATCTTGAGGGCGGCGCGCCTGCCCTTCATGAAACGCTTCTTGCGCACCTTCACAGAACGCGAGGCACCGAAAGATGTGTCGTGGCCGAGGTCGCGGGCAACACGAACAGTCCTGAGGCCACCAGCCCCGACCTCGGCCGCTGACGCCCACGCGGGCAGCAAGGCACGGATGGCAGCAGAGGAGGCCATGAGGCCACACTTCCCTAGGGAAAACTCGCATCGCAACCTGCGCAGGCCCGTAAAGAGGGCGCGCAGCACCACAGGAAAGGCCAAGCTGAGCGAGTGCTCAGTGCCGAAAAGACGGAAGGCGAGGTCGTCGATCCACTCCCTCAGGCGCAACCCTGGCACCAAAGAGTGAGCCGCCTTCAGCGGGGCGTGCAGGTAGGCACGCGCCTGCGAGACAGCTTGGCCACAGCCAGCGAGGATGCCTCCGCCAGGCAAGATACCTGTGTGCACCTGGCGCTGGAGGGTGAGGAGTCGAGGACCGAGGTAGACGTCGAGGGCGAGAGCGAGGAGGCGGAGAGGGTAGCCTAAATCCTGGGCAGCCGCCGCCAAGTCAGGCAGAGACACCAGGTCGTAAAACTTCCGAAGGTCGAGCAGTCCACCCGCAACCTCGAAGCCTCCCAGGAGCGCAAGCTCCCCCTCCAGCTCGTCCAACCACCCAGCCAGGTCGGCCGATCCACCCACAGTCTTGTCCCAGGCGCCGTGCTGGTCACGGTCCCAGGCGCCTATCTCAGGCTTCCTGATGCGGCATAGCAGCACGTAACTGAAATTGAGCAGGGCGATGGGCCTCAGGCCTCCATCCTCCTTATCCAGCAAGGCGATGAGGTTGAACAACTCTTGAAAGGGCACTGTGGCCTCGCGCTCGATGGCCGTCAGAAGGGCCGCGAGCGCAGCGATAGCAGCAAGCGGCGCATCCTTGACCAGGCGAGGCGGCATCATGTCAATCCCCCTCCCCCGACGATCAGGAACGGTCTTTAGCGCCCCCCTCACCTGGTCAGGAGTGACAGGCTCGAAGCAGTCTGACGAAAGAGCCGCACGGCGGATCCTCGCGAGGGCCTCCAAAGCCTCGGGCCGCGAGTGCTTGCACCAGATTGCGTGCCACGCAGCGCCTTCCGCCTCTAGCACGGCAGCGGGCGTGGAGGCTGGCTCTCCGTCCCAGACAGGCTCGGCGCGGCAGAAGGCGGGAGGATCGCGGAGGAGCCTATGGGCTTTGCTGGCAGAACCCGCCAAAGCGTCGGACAACCAGGAACGCCAGCGCGCACGGGCCGCCGCAGCCGCGCGCTGGGCAGCCTGGACTCCCTGCTCCTTAGCCTCCTCCGCGATCTGCTGAAGGCTGTCAAGCGACAGCGAGCGAAGCTGGCGGAGCCGAAAGATCCAACGCTCAAGGATCGGTCCCTCCACCGCGTCGTTCGGATCAAAAGGCGGGGGCAGCTGCAGGGCCTCAAGCCCACGCATCGTGCTCCAGAACTGCTCACCGCAGCCGGCGCGCGGAGTAGATGCCTCGGATGGGTCCGCCTCGGGATCAGCCAAACGCAACAGCAAGGAGGCCTGCACAGCGAGGGCCTGCCAAAAACGGGCATGGCGGTCAGCGAGAGGAGGGCCGTCGCTGGCACGAGGCACGATGGGAACGTACTTGAGGCGAGGCTGCTGACATCGTCCTACGTACAGAGGCCACTGCGAGCGAGGTATACCTTTTTTGGCACAATGCACAAACTCCAAAGCTAGGGCCCACTCCCCGAGCTGACTTCCGAGCAAAAGGGCAGTCTGCGGCACATCGTGATCTGCAATGGCGAGGCTCGCCGTCTCAAAGTTAGAGGTAAAACGGGCAGAAAAGCGCTGGCGAAAGGCACGGGCCTCAGAGAGGGCGGCGTCCCAGTCCAGGTCGTAGCTCTCGTTGGAGGCGACAAAGATGTCCAGCGCCTTCGGCATGACCACACACCAGCCCATGAGCGACCTCGGGTTGGCCAGGATGTTGTAGGAGAGCGCGAGGTGGGTCCCCCACGGGGCCGAGACGTCGACCCCTGCAAACTGCACAGCCGACGCGAAGGAGGACGAGACCAGGGCGTAGTCGATGGCACGCCCTGCGCCCCTGCCGCCAGTACACGTGACCTGCAAACCCGACTGCACCTCGACCAGGCCAAGCGCCGCCATGAAGCCAGTCGTCGCAAGCTCGCTGGACACAGACTGCCAGTCCCCAACGATGAAGAGAGGGCCCGCCAACTGGCCGAGCCGAGCACCCACTTGAGAAAGCAACTTGAGGTTGCGGCCGCCCAACTCCTCGCCCGAGACCATGTAGATCGGAACGATGGTGAGCGTGACGCGGCGCAGCCTGAGGGTGGCCACGCACCAGCGCGAACAGGAACTTGATGTCCAGCCTCCGTTCGCCTCGAGGCACAGCGAGGCGAGCCCAAGTCGGGCGCGGGCGAAGATCACCACCCCCGCCGACGTGGAAAAGGCTTCCGTGGCGTCAGCCTCTCCGCCAACAGCCTTCCAGCCCAGCCGCCTCGCGGCAGCGCACATCTGGGTGTACTTAACACCCCTCACCCTGGTCTCAACCAAGACCACCACGTCTGCTAGCGTCTCCGCCAGCCAGCGCTCAGCCTGGGGCCCCCAGCACGAGATGTTCCCGTACACCAGCCTCAGGGAGCGGCCCTCGTCGTCAGCGCCCAGGCTACCCCCGCGGGGGGGCCGCCGCCGCCGCCTCCTGCTTGGCAGCTGCGCGTGCCGCGCTGGCGGCGCGGACGGCCTCCCGACGCCGCTCTGCCTCCAGCTCGGCGGCCTCAGCGGGCGTGGGCGAGGCGGCAGGCGCCGCTGGGCCAGGAGGCTCCTGGCTGGCCTCCGCCGCAGCGCCTGCAGGGGAGCTGGCCGCCGCTGCGGGAGGGGCCGACGGCTGCTGGACTGCAACGCCCTGGCCGTCCTCCGCCTTGCGCTTCTTCTGGATCTGCTTGACGTAAGATACGTACTCGGACTGGAGCTTCTTGGCCTGCTCGGCGACGCCCGAGAAAGCCTTGCGAAGGAGCTCCGTGGCAGCGATGCGCTGCTGCTCGGCGAAATTGCTGAACTTCGCTCTGTCCTCATCCGAGAAAGCGGGGCCCGTGACATCGATCGATTCGCCGAAATCCAGCCGCACCGAGTCAGGATCCTCCAGCAGCGCGCCGATGTGCAGCACCGAGCCCGATGAAGGCAGCGTCTCCTCGGGCGTTGGGAGGACCCTCGCAGCGAGGTTGCGGGCAGCCAGCTCGACGGCCTGCTGGGCCTCCTCCTCCTTCTTGATAGCTTCGTCGACCTTCTTGTCGGCTGCAGCGATCTGCTCCTCGAGGCGGAGGCGGGCGTCGATGGCCTGCTGGACCGCACGGGTAGCAGCACGCTTCTTGGCCTCGGCGGAGCTGATCTCGGCCTCGCCGAGGGGCATCGGTGGGGGAGGATTTGGCTTGATCTTGAGGGTAGCAAGCAACTCGGCTGCAGCAGCGGGGGGCAGCAGTGCGGCCGCCTTCCTGGCCGCTGCCACTGCCGCGGGATCCACACCAGACGCACCGCCGCCGCCACCGCTGGGAGCTCCGTTGGCTCCTCCTGCACCACTCTTCCCACCACCAGTAGGTTGCATGGCCGTGCCGCAACCCACGCAGAAGCCGCGGCGAGCCAGCAGACGATCGTACGTCCAATGCCCGCACGAGCAGTACGTGTACGTCTGGAACTTCTTCCCCTTCTTGCCTCCGCCGACGCTGGTCCAGCCATCCTCGGTGCGCCAGGGCGGGGGGACCATGGCGAGAGCAGCTCGGGAAAGACTGGAAAGGCAGGCGCCCAACTCCTGCAGAGAAGGCGAAAAACTCTGAGAACTGGCCGCGGACTAGCGGTATCCGTTTTGGCCCCAAAGGAACCAGGCATCTTGAGCCAAAATGGCTACGGACGAGGAGGACGAGGACGAGGAGGAGGAGGATTAGGAGGAGGAGGAGGATGAGGAGGAGGAGGAACGTGACGATGGCCTCCCAGGGGTCTACCTGGTCCTTGGTGTTCACGACCAGGATGAAGGCAGCCCACAGGTACGCGCCGAGGGAGAAGGCGGCCGTGATATAGAAGGAGGGCAGCTCCTTTTGATGGGCCCATGTTCCACCACCACTACCATCGGTAGGAGAGAGAGGGGGAGGAAGGAGAAGGAGGAGGAGGAGGAGGAGGAGGAGGAGGAGGAGAGGGAGGAGGAGGCGGAGGAGAAGGAGGAGGAGGAGGAGGAGGACCTCCTCATTCTCCCTTCTCCCCCGTCTTACACGTGGTAGTGATGGTGGAAAATTTGCCCATCACCTTTATCACTCGTACTTCGTTAGAGGGAATCACCATGATGCAGACAGCCACGATCACCAGCAGATTGAACGACGCAGAGCCGGCGATCGTCGAGGGACCCAGCTGAGCCGCGTGGAACTCCTTCTTGAAGACGTCGATCAGGGCGACGAATATTTCTGGGGCCGAGGACCCCAAAGCCATCAACGTCAACGTCGCCACCGTCTCGTTCCAGACCTTCGTGGTCCTGACCTTGCCATCCTTACCTGTAGTCTGCTTCCAGCGGGCTGTGATCTCCTCAATGGAAGCGACGAAGATGTCAGCGATGATCGCGACCCCTACGAAAAAATAAAGCATCATGAATCCGTAAACGACGACGCGTAATGCTGGCTCCATCTCCGCCTCGTGCTCCGACAGTGGCAGGATCATCCCAGAACCGCCCGCCTTGCATATCGGGGCTGAAGCCTTGCACGCCACTGCAACCTGAAGGGCAAGCACACGGCGTAAACATCGGGCAATGTGAATGAGAAAGGCGTCTTGAAACTTTCTGGGGTACCTCGGGGGGGAGGACACATATGTGGGGCCTTCTTGGGCCGCCTTGGAGCTCTCCGGAGGCCCACGTGGGCGCACCTGGGACGCTCTTGGGGCAGCCCCAGCCATCTCGGGTCTCTCTTGGGGTCCTCTTGGGGCATGTCTGGGCGCTGTTTGTCTCCTTGGAGGCCCTCGTGGAACGATCTCGAGCCAAACAGTTGAGAATGCACAACACATGCAAGCATCGTTAGAAATACAACGGTGTTTGGGTGGTATTGGCCGTCTAAGCGTTACATTGGAGAGCTTTTGTTGCCTGTTGGGGCAGTCGTTGGGTATCTTGGGGCTCCTTGGAGCCATCTCAGGGTCATTGTAAGCAAATCTGGGTCTCCTTTGGGGCCACCTGGTGGCCTCTTGGGGTCATGTTTGGGCTTCTCGGGGCTATCCTGGAGCCCGCTGAAGCAATCCTATCTCCCTTTTGGCCCATGTTGGTGGCACTAGACGGTGTCCGCGTGATGGGGAGGTATGCAGAATCTGCGGGCGGGCTTCCGGTCGCAGTCTCGCAGGACACGAGGAATATCGCAGTGTGCGAGCGAAAGCAAATCCCGATCAGCCGCGCAGCGGGGGGCTGGTGGGCGCATGTGTGTGCGTACGTGCGTGCGCCTGGCCCGTGCACTTTCCACTCTCTGCTGGGCTCCGACTTCGCTGCGCCGCTGCGCGCGTGGCCGCGACGCCAAAACATACGTGCGTGTGCTCGCGCGCTTCCCCTCCTCCTGTGCCTCTGTGCGTGAATTTGGAGTTGGCAGCCGCCCTGCTTCTTCGACGGACTCGTGAGATCGCCGTGTCTGCGAGCAGCACGCGTGTGCGTGCGAGCGCTTGATTTGCGTTCTGGTCTCCCTGACAGCCGAGAGGGCCGTCACATTGTCGGCCATGGGCGTGGCCGCCGCCCCGCGCGGCGCCTTCTGGCCGCGGGGGTAGCAGGGACGCGACCTGGGAGGGGCTCGACGTGTCCACCACGTCGCTTGGACGGCCCGTGAGCTCGGTGTATAGACGCTGCAGCTTCTCGAGACGTGTGTGGGGTGCTGGAGCGTCATGCACCGAGCTCCTTCGCCGAGCCCCTTCGCCGAATCAGCGACGTGTACACGACGAGCTCCTCCCACGACCGATCTGATCGGTGGCCCGCGCGGCACGGGGCACCAGAACAAGGATCCGAGCCGCACGCCTGCCGAGGAGGTAGAGGGAGAGGGGGGCGGGAGGAGCACGCCGACCCACTCGTGATGCGCAACAATGGGGGGGACCGGATCAGGGGGGGAAACGTCGACCTGGAATCGGCGATACATCGCCGATAGATCGGCGACAGGCCACCGATTGCGAATCCGCGCGTTCCTGGGCGGGCTGGGCCATCGGGCCCCTATCGGCGGTGCATGGGCGACTGGGGGTCGGTGCATCCCACCTGAGCCTCGTCCCCCTGTTCACATTGCCCCTGAGACCCACTCCTCCAGCCGCAGCGATCAACAAAAACGACGCGCGCTTCACACGATCCTGACTGCCAGCGGGCCCCAGGAGCATCAGAACGTGGTCCGCGGGGAAAAGCTGGTCCTGGGTACGGGGGCCGAGAGCACCAGGGACAAAGTCCCACCAGCCCTTTGGGCGCTGGTGGCCTAACGATGCTTCTCCCTCCTTCCCAAGCAACTCTTCCCTTCAGGGAGGGATGCCATCCCCCTCCCATCTCTGAGGTTTTTTGAGCGTGCTTCCGCGCTGTGCCAAAGGGTAATTTTCTGGCCCAGTATGGCTCCACGAGGGCCTCCGTTCCTCCCAAGATGGCCTCCAAGATAGCCGAAGATGGCGCAAGAGGCCCCAAAGACCGCTTCAAGACGGCCCAGGTGCTCTCGTAGCCCTCCTCAGGACTTCCCCAAAAGGTTCAAGTCGCTAAGAACTAAAGAAATATCAATGATTTTCGTCGGCTCGCTATTTTCGCTTTCGCTTTTCTTGTGAGGCCTCAAGATGGCCCCAAGATGGCCTAAGTGAGGCCCAAGATCCCAATATGCCCCCAAGACGGCCCCAAGAGCGCCCAAGAGACCCCCACGACGGCCCTAGGTGGGGCTCCATATGCAATTTTGACCCCCCTCCGTTAATCGATAGCCTCCAAGATGGCCCCAGGAGGCTCTCCAGGGCTCCCACAAGAGCACCAAGAGGGCCCCAAGACCCCTCAAAGAGGGCCCCAAGACGGCCACGACATAGCCCTAAGAGGACACAAACAAGGCCTCAAGAAGACCCCAGGATGATTGCAAGAGTCCTTGTCGTCATCCTCGTCGTCCTCTTCCTCCATCTCGTCCTCCTCCTCCTCCTCCTCCTCCTCCTCCTCCTCCTCCTCCTCCCCCTCCTCGTTCCCGTGCTCCTTCTTCTGTTACTACTCGTGACTCTCTGGGCAGAAGATCCACTGCGCGCTTCTACACTTCTCTGAAGAAGACATCTCGCCTGGGCACCGTTTCAGGATCTCTTCCGCCCGTTTCTCGTCAGCTCTCGTCGGCAACGTTTCTGGACGGGCTGAACGGGGGTACGCGCGAAGCGCGAAGCATCGGGACAAGATCACGGCGACGTCGGACACCTGGGGGATGAGGGAAAAGAACGTTCCACGCCTCCGACGGCCCGATCTTTCGAGTCGACGGCCCCTGAAGCTCTCGCCGCCTCCCCTGAGACCAACTTCTCACCCCGAGCCGCCTTCAGACGGCCCCGGGGTCCTGGAAACGGCCTCCAGGGGCCGAGCCTTCAAGAAGACTGTCCAGCGCGATCTGTTCGAGTCGCCAGAAGTCTGGTGGGTTGGAAGGTATGTGCAAGGAGGAGGAGGAGGAGGAGTAGGAGGAGGAGGAGGAGGAGGGGGAGGAGGAGGAGGAGGAGGAAGAAGAGGGGGAGGAGGATGGGGAGGAGGAGGAGGAAAAGGAGGAACAGGTGGAGGAGGATGAGTGGTGGCATAGGCTAGATTGGGTAGAGACGGGTAGAGAAGTAGGGCCCACCAACCAATACTGTCACTGCCACTTCCTGTTCCTGCACCTCACATCTGCACACTCTCTTTGCTCGCTGTGCCTCGTATTTCGGTCGCCTTTTCCGACTACCTGTCACACAACATCAGAACTTTGAAGACGGGGCCTCATAGCCAAGATTACGTACTTTCTGTGGACTGGTGTTGGGATGGTGATTGAAGGGGGCTGGCTTGGAGAAGGGGACATTGCACTCAATACGCAAACCAGCCTACATAGGCCAGCCTTGAGCAACAACATCTGTCTATGCAAGGGCCAGTGTACTGTAATAATTTAACATATCCCGTGCCTACTCGGCCTCTCCATGGGACTGGCAGCGCGCTACACACAACCAGCAACTTATTCTTCTGCGTCAGCTTTGTACCGTTGTGCGCTACACACAGCCAACAGCCTACCTTCTCAGCGGGGGGTGGCATGGGCTGTGGGATGTGGAGGAGGAGGAGGAGGCACGGGGTCTCTGTGGGCGAACCCTCCCCGTACCCTGGGGACCCCGAACCACCAAAGCGGGATTGCGCGAATCCTAAACACGCCTACGCCAGCCTATCGGTACCGCACTTACGTGCCGGCGCTGTGCTGGCAAAACAGCTTCCTTCCCCCCATCACGGGTTTCAGAACATGGGCCCTCCCCATACCCTGGCGACCCCATGCCACCCGTGATTGCCCTCTGGCTGCGCTGCTCGCTACACACTGCCTGCAGCCAAATTTCTGAGGGCGCGCCGCTGGATGACCCCAAGGGGGGGGGGGGGACCCCCTCCGTGGCGATCCGGATTGGGTACGATTTCACTGTTGGTGTGTGTTCATGCATTTCCGTGTTTGTGTGTGTGCGTGTGTATTGTGTATGTGTCGGTGTCGTTGTGTATATATATATATATACGTGTATATATATATATATGTATATATATGTGTGTGTGTGTCGGTGTGTGTGTGTGCGTGTGTGTGTGCGTATGTGTGTGCGCGTGTGTGCTTTAGTGGTTGTGTATGTGTGAGTATTGTAGATGTGCGCCTTATATGTTTGCGTAATGTAAGCAGGTATGTGGTATGCGCGTGTATCTATGTATATGCGCGTGTAAGCGTGGGGTGCCCGCACAACGTTTTCGTCCAATCTCCCTTCCTTCGTGCTCCTCTATCCTCCCCTCCCCCCCCAGAGAGGTTCCGTGACAATGTCGTGCCCTTTGAGCCGGGCTCGGGGGGGACAATTTCGTTAACAGAGCCCTCTTTGATAGTTAGTTGCCACTCCGTCGGTCTCTTTGCCTGGTCCGGGCTGCGACCGCCGAGTGCCTTGGTGCCAGCACTATTGCGGTACGATTTAACATCTCCGCCACGCAGTGCACGAAGCTAGATGATACGAATTGGGCATGTTTCGTATCAGCACTCCCCTCCTCCCTCTCGTCTTCCTCCTCTTCCTCCTCCCCCTGCTCCCGCATTTGCGGCCCGTAATTCGTGACATTTTCGTTGCGTGTTACCGCCTGTGCGGGCCGCAGTCTCAATTTTGGGCGTACCGGCTTGTCCTCGATTTTAGGCCCGTTCCGTCGAAGTTTGCTGTTGCTTGTGCGCTTGGTTCTCAGTGTAACTGTTCGCCCCGGGCGCGGCCTGTCCAGCATATTCGGCAGGACCTCGGGGTCCACCTCACGGGCACGGTGAGGAAGCCGTAGGATCGGTATGAGTGTGAGCTCAGCATCGGCCGCCTTGGTGTGGTACGCTAAAAAAAAACTCGCCCCCCTCCTCCTCCTCGCTCTATTCATCCTCGTATTCGTCTTCATCCTCATCTTCCTCGTTTGCTTCATTCTCTTTCGTATATTCCTCATCTTCCTCATCTTCCCCATATGCCTCATCGTCCTCATAGTCCTCATCGCCCTCATGTTCTTATCTTCCTCATATTCCTCATCTTCCTCATCCTCATCTTTCTAAACTGTTTCACATTCCTCATCGGCGCAGTATCTTTTCGAGCGAGCGGGGATGCAAGTTGGTTGATTTGCGCAATGGTAAACCCGCCAGCCCCACAGCCGACAATCGTCGCTCGCTCCTGCGCCGAAGCAGACACCCTTATAACCTGAATCTCTTGAGGCGCGCCGCTCAATTTTACAGGGTGAGCGAGACGCCGTCTGGAAGAGTGCGCTGGACTGTAAAGTGCATCGGGCGTGTTGGGCACCTCCTCAGTGCACACGGGACTGTGGTGCCTCACGCAGATCTTCGAGTACCTTTGACCATATATTGAGAAAAATATCGTTCCCAGTTGGCCCCGCGCAAGTCCAGGGAGGCACGCGTGGATCGTCAGCGGGTCGGTCCGAGAGCGGCTCCGCCGGCGGAAGGCGGCGGAAGTAAAAATGAGACATCAACATGTTTGGGTCCAGGGTTTTTGGGATCGCCCAATTATGTTCCGGCATGAAGTGCAAATCCCTCTCCCTCTTCCCCCTCCTCCGATTGGGGATCGGGCAAAGGTCGTCGTCCCCCTCCTCCCCTTCCTCTTCCTCCTCCTTTTTTTGCCTCGGAGGCCGGAGCGCGGCCCCTAGCCGTCCGGTGCCGGCGAACTCAGAACGAGTTCAGCAGCAGCAGCAGCGCCATCGCCGGGCCAGCAGCGGGGCTGTCCCGGGGAGCGCCGGGCTGGCGCGGCGGGGGGTCGATCGTACCGCCCAGTGCGGTAGCCGTGGCGGCGCCTGCAACCGCAAAGGCAGGTGACAGGGCCGCAGGGGGGTACGAGGGGACCCTCCTCCTCCTCCTCCTCCTCCTCCTCCTCCTCCTCCTCCTCCTCTTCCTCCTCCCACCTCTTCCGTTCCAGGACAGCCATTTTGGCTCAAATGTCGACCAACTCGCCTTGCGGCGTGTGCCGCGACCAGGGCGTAGCGGCGCGCAACTGCCGCACGCGCTGCCGCGACGACACCGGCAGTAGAGAACCAAATGACGACATTAATGTCACTACTCGGAGGTCCGCGCGGATTTCCCGAATCGGTGCCGGGGTACCCTGGCGGCGCCTCCGGCGGCACCTCCCTGGCGTGCTTTGCGCGCCAGGCGACGGGCCCAGCGCCAATCCCAACATTCCGCGCGGGCCTCCGAGTTCTTTTTGTTTATGTTGTCGTTTAGTTCTCCAGGCAGCCCGTGCTGCAAGGGGCACGGGGGCGCCGAGACGGGCGACCGCCTGAGGGGGCTCAGGATTGCGGATCGCTCAATGAATGTTCTCAGGGCGCGC